CGCTGCTTCTTCTGCTTGCGTGTGCGGCTGCCGCTGCGATGCTGGACGCGTGAGAGACATAGAGAAAAGGAGAGGGCCGTGCACACACAGCTCGCCCTTTTCTGTTTCTTCCTCTCTCGCTTTGTGTGTGTGTGTGTCCCCCTGCACGGACTCTCTCGCCCTCGCCGTACCCCACGAGGCACACACACATAATGTGCTCGTAACTATACACAACTCCACTCATGCAGGCCCGTCGGTTTTCTTTTGACTCTTTGCACCCGATGAGCCGCTGCCGTCCTGCTTGGCTGCATGGGTACAGCACCGTAACTGTTTTTTATCCTTTTTTGTTGTTTGTTCGTTTCCATTGCTTTCAGTGGGCGACCTCCATTGCTTTCTCTCTCTTCCTGGATTGGGCTGTGCGGGAACAGAGAGAGATGGAGTGTGTGTGTGTGCTGGTCGTCCCGCGTGTTGCTGCGCGTCCCCACTGCTCGGTGCACGCGCCCCGGCGCTTCAGCTTAACTTTACGGGGTTTGTTTGTTTGGTTTGTGTGCTTTTTTTGACTGCACCCCTTCAGCGGGAAGCTGAGGTGTGGCGTGCGCCGCGTACTGCGTGTGCCCCGCACCGTGTGGGCTGCGGTGGCCTTCTCTCTCTCTCTCTGTTGCTGAATGTGGCTGCGTGGGGTCGTTTGTCTGTGTGCCTATCTTTTTGCTTCACTTCCCCTTGCATTCTCCTTTTGGCTGGTGATTGGAGTGCAGCCGCAGCGCAAGACAACAACATCTACAACAAAGTAAGAAAATCAAGAAACAATGACTGAAAGAAGCGAAGAAGAAACTCACGCTGCTGCGGAGAGCCCCGCCACTTATGCGCAGCGGCGGCACGCGGGGCCGGGGTCCGGCAGCGGCGTTTCCGGTCAACCCCCCTGCACAGCGCCGAAGGGTGGAAGAGACACCTGCACGACAACGCTGGACCCTCACCAGTACTGTGGAGGAAGTACTGCTGGAGGGATTAGATGCTGCAGAACAAATGACGCTAAGCGACTTCATCAGGAGGTACGTTGATCCCAATTTCGTGCTCGATGAAGGCCGCAATGTGATGATGGGGGTGGTTATTCAGTGGCCTGAGGATTGCATCAGTGACGAGCGGCTCCTAGGAAGAATTCTTAATTCACCAGCGTATCAGCGCCTGGAAGACGCACGCAATCTACATGCGGACGCACGCAAGCTAATGGAGCACGAGGTGGGCAATCTCCAACACTGGAAGGACTTTCATCAGAAGGACATCGTTGCTGCTATTACGAGGAGGAAACTCAACGCCGCCCTTGAGGTGGCGGAGGTACTCGAAAGGGCGTGGCGGGTGAAGGAAATTGCCAGACGGCCGTTGCCGGAGGGCTTCTACGACTCTGTGCTCAAGGCGAGGTGGAGCCACGTCTTGGGGTTTCCCGAGGGCGAAGGGGAGGAGGAAGTGGCGGTGCGGATGGAGGTGAAGGCGGGCCAAGCGCCAGCACAGTCGTGGGAGTACAAGATGCAGGGCACAACTCTTCGGCCGGTGAACGATGCGGGGCAATTCACCGCACCGCGCCCCAGGCTGATGGTACTCACCTCGGAGAAGGGCTGGCCGTGC